AACAGTTCTTAAGCTGTAAAACCCATTGTGTTGGGGCGGTAACTCATGTTTTGGCTTTTCCTAATGTGTTTTTTCCCTTAACGTTGGTGTGGCTAAAAGCTTCGAATTATCTTCAAAACCATAAGTAGAAAAGTCTCCGTACAATGGCAGGAATCCTCCTCACGGAGCCGCGGCCTCCTCTAAGTGGACAACCTGGGCAGACGCTTCCTGCTTGTCCTCCCACTAGATGTCCTGGCTCCTTGGTTCCACAAACAAACCAACGTCCTCTCCTTTCTGTTCTTATGCGGAGAGTCTGTGGAAAATGTTAAACATTCAGTGCGGCCCGTTGAGTGACGGAGTGAACTCGGAGGTGGGGAGGGGGGGGCGGCAAACTGGTTTTGTCTTCAACAAACACAAGGGGAAAATGCTGAGGAAGGGTCTCGCCTTGTAGGAAACACTTACTCCGTAAAAGGTCGAAACAAAATAAACCGTCGGTGGAGGACGTGCCGAGTCGGTCCTCATTAACACCGCGACGACAGCCTATATATGCACACACACACATAGAAACAGACATTGAATTACCAAAGCATCAAAGTTCGTCCAGTTGATATTTTATTTTTTACAATCCGACCCTGAAAGCGCCTTAAACTACGTTGGACGTCACTAACGGCAGACACCAATTCTCATGTCATGTTATTGACCACTGAATGAATACTGTAAAAAAAACCTACTGTCTTTAACTGAAGTGGGAACCCCTGCGCTCCTGTCTATCAGTTGATATGTGGATCACTTTCAGGTTCCAGGAGACAGACTGTATTTAGCATGGACTTAAACCCCTGGGCCCGTGGTGTCAAATCCAAGGGCACAGGAAGTACAGCAGTGCCGTTGCCACGGTTGCAGAAATAACATGGCCCGGTTGCGAAACATGCTAACCTTGAGGGTAAACGTGTGAAACTTTTGCTGGACTGTTTCCCAACAGGCTCTCACAACGTATGGTCACTGTAGAGCCTAATAAGACGAGACTGGATTAAATTAGCACAAGGACACACACACATACACAGAAGTGTGAAGTATTTTGAGATCACTTCAAATAGACATAAGTTATCTCCTAGCCCTCCCCTCACCGACCCCCCCCAACCTTATCAATTACAAATACATTTCTACCTCACCCCGACTCTAATCTGAACTCTACCTTAAAAACTCAAAGTCCCCTCTCACTCTGAGGGGACCTGTGGAAAAAAAAAATGTCCCCACATATACCAAGAACATACACAGCTCTGTCACGGCTTATCTTTCTGTCCTCACTTCCTGTGACTGTTACCACTGTTACCACACACACCTGTTGTCGGATGTAGCCCCATCAGCTGTAACACCGATTTAGATTCACAGGCGTAGGAAACTTCCTGGAACCACCGTAAATCTGGCCTATAGATGGAGCCACATGTTGACAGGAGTTATTTTGAGTTTAAAATCACCGGCCTCAGTTGTTTTAGGGCCAGTTATTTCACTAACAATTCAGCAGACACATCATGTTGATTCACCTCAACATTCACTGAAGCACAGCAAAAGCTACCGATTAGTGTTAACGTGCTGTAGCTAACGTAGCTAAGAGTTAAAGTGTGGTTTATCGCTTAGATTCACTGGCAGTAAAGGGACGTTTGTCTAATCACTTCTTAAAGCATAGCAGGGACAAAAAGGATTTATTCATTGAAATGGAAAAAGTATAAATAAAGACATCGTGATATTTGTGACACTGAAGGTTTATCTAAAAGCTAGCGATGTTGCACGACAAAACTGGCCAATGTAGAAAATTGATTTTTTTTTTAATTTTTATTTAATTAGTTGACCTTAAGTTCATCAGGAAGTAGCAGAACGGCCCACACGTGACGTGTGTCTCAGAAGAGTACGTCAGCACAGCCGCGATGAGGAAGTGACGACTGACTGTTGTCGTAACGTTTGTTAAAATCAGTCAGTAATAATTAGAGGGAAGTGCCAGGACTTAGTGTCCAACACGGAGCTGGGAGTGGACTGTAACACTGTTGGGGGGTTTCGGAGAAACCAGAACTAGGACTGTACTGAGTGTGGGAGGAACTGTGAAGAAAGAACAATAAAAGATTTCACAATGAAACCTTAGGACTGATGACGTCAACACAACTATCACCTCAGAACCTTCAGAATATCTGTGGAATAAAATGAAGATCAGACTCCAAGACCTGGAGATCGTCTGGAGAATATCGTGTGATATTTTGGAATTTGTAGAAAAAATTCTGAATTCAGCAAAAAACATTAAACCAGTTGTTTATCTCCAACTTCTTTGTTGATTTTAGGATCAGGTTGGAGCCAATCCCAGGATTCATTGGATGAGCTGACAAACCAGTGGTTCCCAAAGTGAGGGGGCAGGGACCAGGCACTACTGCAGTTTTTTTTATTTCATTATTGACCTAACAGTGAGTAAAAGCACTGATCTGTAATTATATTTCCTTTGTTTAATGTGATGAACAGTTGATGGTGGGGGTGGGGTCGGGGGGTCGGGGGCTGCTGCAGAAAACAGTTTAAGTGAAAGTGTCAGTATAACACAGCGCTGTGTTCAGTCTGATCGACCAATCACGTTCTTTATTTCAGTTACAGTGACACCACATGAAGAAGAAGAACTGGACGACGACGGCCGCCGTCACTGGTCGGAGGGAATGTGATGCGTTCGTGTTCAACAGAGCCAGGTCTTCACACTGGTACTTTCAAGTATAATGAGCAGGTTTTACTGTACAGTATGTACACGTAGTACGTACGAGTACTGTCTCACTACAACTCACAAAGCTGCAGTACAGAGAGTACACACAGGTCAGGAAGTATCATTTACAGTACACACACTGACAGAGTACGCCTGATGGGGTCACTACACTACGGCTATCCAAAGGAAGCATGCTAATAGTGCTAATAGTGCTAATAGTGCTAATAGTGCTAATAGTACGTACAGTCACTACCGCATACTTTTCAGAGTACATGTTAAGGCTGCAACACATACACACATAATAATACTGTAATATATTTTCATCTACAAATGTATATGAAAAGTCCAACTTTATGAAGTTTAATAAATACTGTGTGGTACATTTTAATATTTTTAATGAAAATATAATGAGACAGATATAATAAAGCATTGAGATATATTATCATCATCATTATTCACTGTATACAGTACAAGCCAGAGGTTTGGAAACAGGTTCAGATTTGTATAAAAACAACATCAGAGTTTTTTTTTATTAGAAAACACTTTTTACTGCAGTATCAGGTATTTGGGTTATATTTTCACAGATTTAACAGTATGTCATACAACTGGTACTGGTAACACATGTATGGCCACAAGATGGACGTACCACGGTGTGGGAACACCGACTCTTGGCGTGTCATCTGCTGAGGGAGGGGTAATACTGTCAAACTATAATCTGGCCCAGGTCAGGGGGCGGGGGGTCAGGGGAGGGGTGGTCTGGGGTTCCATATGGACTAAGATTGTGCGTCAAATGTTGGTTTAGCTGTGGGAACCTAATAATACTTATGTCAAAAATACACAGACAAAAACACAGGAAGTTCTTCTTCCAAAGAGAGTTACGGCCCCAGTGTCAGACAGTTGCTGATTGATGAACTAGGAACGCACTCCCCGGCACATACTGGTCCACCTGGTACCTGGTGTACGCCCTGCTGTTGTTGAAGTAACCCAGATACCCGATAAACACAGTGAATGTGTATTCTGATAATGAAGTGTGTACACTGTTGAAACCATGATCTTTTTTTTTTTCTACAGTTGTCCCGCGACCAAACTCCAGCCTCCAGCGGTCCACGTCTCCCGCCTCTGGTTGGACCGTCACAGAGAGTCCCTGACGGAGTCACCGTCGACTCTTCGTTCTGCCGAGAACCGCGACGTGAACCAAGAGTTCGTAACATACACGGCTGAACATGAAGGCAACGAAGTTCTGATCATCTCAGTCCGTGGCGGGAAGTGGACTGGAGACTGGTACCGAGCTCAACTCACAGTACAAAAGTCTGACTGAAGGGGAAAAATCTGTGCAGAGGGTGAGACCTGGGAGTGCAGCGCCCCACCCTGCCCCCCTTCTTGCAGTTTGTCTCCAGGTTGTGGTGAACCTACCCTGTGTTTGCCAACATTCTTCTTCCGGTGCACTGCAGAGTCTTTTGTGGTTGGAAAGAGAGGATAAAGTTAGAGGACAGCGCCACCGTTAGGCAAAGGGACTGTCGGATTTCAGGATGGAGCTGTCGGCGTCCGGGAATCCTTTCCCGTTCAAGTGTTCGGAGTTGACGTCGATGCTGTAGCAGCCCTGCACCTCCGTGATGGAGGAGGCTGTGTATGAAGCCGAGCGCAGGGCGTCCGAGTGGTTCCCCACGCTGCTGCCAAACTGGATCTGGTACTGGTTCCAGTGTCGCCGCAGGACTGCCTGGACCTGGCCAAAAAAACCAAACAAACATCTCAGTGACACAGATGACATGGAAGGACGGATGGACGGATGGGTGAGTTAATAAATGCATTTGTTTTTTTTCCCAGAATGCACTGTGCTCTACATCACTTCCTGTCTTTGCCT